GCCTCCCAAGTAGCTGGGACCACAGGCGCCCGCCACAATGCCCGGCTATTTTTTGGTTGCAGCCGTCATTGTTGTTTGGTGGGTCCGGGCTGGGGATTCGAACCTGCCACCTTAGGTATATGTGGCTGGCGCCTTAGCCGGTTGAGCTATAGGCACCGAGCCTAGTTCTGATTCTTAACTTTGTGTTCAGCACACAAGAACCCAAATCTCTGCCCTGAGAATAAACATTTAATTCCTGAATATATCAAGGGCTAAACAAATGCTTTATCACACATCTTTGACCAAAATGTAACTCTTCACATAAACAATTATTTCCCCCACTGAAGTCAGTCAGTGTCTGTTTGCCTTAACCAAAGTCTAACTTTGTATCAGTTTATCCCACCTTAGAGACTCTCTCCACACTTCTGAAGGCTAGGGTGAAAATATCCCATAGAATAAACTCCAAGTATGTTAAGTACTTTTTTCCTCCTTTTTCTCCCTGGTGTAATAACTTTATTAATCCCTAATGGACTCCAATTTAGGCTCCAAGTCTCTGCTTTCATTTTTTAAAACCCATTCTTCCTTACCATCCTGCAGACCAGGGCTCTTGGAGGACAGACTTCAGGCCTCCTCTTTCATGCTTGATAGCCTTCACATAAGGCCCCTAGCAAGACCAGTACAGGCCTCTGGCTCTTCCCTCTCCCTCTCTCTGGACAAAATAACCAACACTGCTGTTGTTTTCCTTAAGATATCTCCATTTCACCAGGCTCACCCAACACTAATCAGTGACATCTTAATAGTCTGCAACTTTGAAAGCCCAGGGACTAGGGCTTCACTTTGGAAGTCACTGGTGTGTCCCACAACCCCCACAATGACTCAGTGACCTAGACTTCACCAACTCACCTGCTTGAGCTCTTTACTACTCATACATACATTCTTCTTGGCGTTCACCTCCCCCCACCCTTCAACAAGTCACTGCCCTGCAAAGTCCCCGTTACCTCTCTAGCCCTTCAGGGGTCTTACAGACTCCACCGAACTCAACCTGGATCTCCCTTTTAGCTTCCTATTGCGCCCCTCCAAAGCCCCTTCATCCCAAGGAGCATGGGATGGTCCCATCTCCTCGTTTAACCTCTTCAAGCACTGCACGGGACACAACCTCTAAAAAATTTGAGATGCCCCTGTCTCTCGCCACCGCTACCCCCACAGGTTCCTCCAGACTCAACTCACTAAATCCTCAACCTCGACCCCCGACCCTCCCCCCCCCCACGGCTCTCCGCGGTTGGGGCTGCCCCTGCCCCCAAACCGGCTCAAAACACGCGGACGCGGACACGGCCCCCACTGCCCCCCGGCTCTGGTCCTTCCCCTCCCCCCGAGGTGCCACTTACCCCGGAGGCAGGAGTGGGGGAGGGGAGAGGAGGAGCGGAGTAGGGGAGGGGGCTTCGGTCCTGGGCGGCTCTCAGCCCCGGGGGGCCGGGGCCGGGGCCAGCG